TTTCTTAATTATGTTAAATTGCACTGTACTTTTTTATCTATTGACATTTTTAAAGATATAAGCTCATCTTGATGTTACACTCATCAAGAGCTTTCATTTGAGTGCCTACTTGCATTTTTGATATATTTTTCATATATACATATATATATATAATATATATAAATATATGAAAAATTGATGTGGGTACTCAAATGAAAGCTCTTGATGAGTGTAACATCAGAATGAGCTTATATCTTTAAAAAGGTCAATAGTTTAGAAGATACAAGGCCATTTCTTAATTATATATTAAGAAAAGACACAAATTCAAGTCGAGACCTTTGCAATGACACTAAATTTCACTAAAAAAACCCAATTTAATCACATGTCTATCCTGGCAACAAAATTTTTCTTATTCTCCGAATAATATAGTTTAATTAAAAAAAAATATTCTTAATTAAAATTTTAAATACTTACATTTGTTATTATTTTTCAGCAAATTTACAAAGTGATTTAAATCAAATGGCTGCTGAAAAAGATGCAGTAGAGCAAGAAGTCGCAACTGCTAAGTTAGCTCTTGAAAGAAGTGAAAGACATGCTAAGCAGGAACAAAGTCGTTGGCAAGGTGAAATCAACTCGTACAAACAACGCTTGGAACGTGCTGACGCTGACATTGTCCATTGTCGGCGAGAAAATTTACGGCTTTCTGAGCAGATAGCTTCCCTGGAAAAAGAAGTATTGTTTTTAATAACTTATTGAATTTACTGTAAAGTTTGTCTTGGAATTGTTAAGAGTAAAAAATTAATATTTTTCAGCTTAACATGGTGAAGATCATACGTACGGACAGTCAGACACCAGCAGCAACTCCGAGGCTGGAAAACGAGAAAGATTTGACATCAATGATCATGGACATGGAGACTAAACATGGTGAGATATTACCAAGTTACCTGTGTTGGGTATATTGTCCGTTTATAATTATAAATTATAAATTTTTGTATTTTGGTCATTATTTTTTTAAAATTCAAGACTAGAATTAGTTGACGAAAATTTGTGTGGGAAATCGGCACTATGCCTAGCATGGGTAGAAAGAATAAATATTAGTCAGTTTATTTTAAAAAATTGACTAATATTTGTGGAATTATTATATAACATGAAAATTCTCTAGCTGCCACGGTGGCTGGTCTTGAAGACGCTCTCAAAAATCAGGCAATGCTCGTCAGCCAGCTGTCTGCAGAATGCCGATCTCTCACACAGCGTTTGGATGCTAACAATCTTACTCACAAGTATTTTTATATTATAATTTTAAAAATAAATTACATTATTAACGCGAGGGGACTTACTCAATTAGGCAGGAGTATTTTTTATTTTTATTTTTTTATATACCTTGAAAATTAAAATAGAAAAATTGCATAGACTGTTCTGTGTTGACAGAGGTGCCAGGTGACCTGGAACATGGACCATTAAACTTAACAACTTCACCGTCAAAAAAGAAACGTACTGTCAAGGTTGATTTGAAACTTAAAATAAATCCAAAAAAGAAGTCTGTTGTTATCAAGTCTTAGACCTCTATCAACACAGTAATAGTTTTTATTATTATTATCTATATTATTAAGAGTCAATTTATGATGAAAAGTATTTGGGTTGCTTTCGAAAATACTCTACCTCTAAATACATAATTAAGAAATTATCTTGTATCTTGTAAACTATTGACATTTTTAAAGATATAAGCTCATCCTGATGTTACATTCATCGAGACCTTTCATTTGAGTACCCACATGCATTTTTGATATATTTTTCATATTTACATATATATAATATATATAAATATATAAAATATATGAAAAATTGATATGGGTACTCAAATGAAAGGTCTTGATGAGTATAACATCAGAATGAGCTTATATCTTTAAAAACGTCAATAGTTAAGAAAGTACAGTACAATTTTACATATATATATATTGTGAGCTATTGACATTTTTTAAGATATAAGCTCATGCCCATGTTACACTCATTAAGAGCTTTCATTTGAGTACCCACATCAATTTTTCATATATTTTATATATTTATGTATATTATATATATATATGTATAGATGAAAAATATATCAAAAATGCATGTGGGTATTCAAATGAAAGCTCTTGATGAGTGTAACATCAGAATGAGCTTATATCTTTATAAATATTAATAGTTAAGAAAGTACAGTGTAATTTAACAAAATTCATTATTTAATAAAGCAAAATTTCATTTATTTATAGTTTACAAGTCACAGCAGTCACATAGTGACTGCATGATTGATAGTTATTATTATTTTTTAATATAAAATTTATATAGTTTAAAAAATAATATTTTAATAATAATTTTATTTCTTCAGGGAAGAAATTGTCAACTTACAAGAAAAAATAGACCATTTAACAAACAAAATAAAAGACTTATTAGAAAATCAAAAAGGTATGGCTTAAAATAATAATAATTATTTATTAAAATAAATACTAATATAATTGATATTTCTTCCCAGGAAAATTACCCGAAGCCCCATCAGAGTCCCAGAAAAATCCAGTGGATCCCAACGAATACACCCACGAATCTTATCAACAAAATTACAATCTAGAAACGAAAACTCCCGAGCTTGACGCTACCCAATATGATCCACAAGATAACCAAAATTATCCTGAGTACACAACAAACGATCCTAATTACACTGGGGAGTACGCAGCTGAAGACTATCAATATGAACAGCAGTACGACCCGTCACTTTATCCAGAAGCTAACCAGGACCAGAGTAATCAAGATACTGATCAGTACGAAAATTACTCAGCTGCCAACTACGAAAACCAGCAACAACCGCTTGAACAAAATGAAGCTATTTCTTAATAATCGTAGATAATATATAAATATTATATATAAATATGAAAATTAATTAAGTTAGCCGACATTTAAAAATTTTTATAATTTTTTTTATTGAAGAAAACTTAAAAAACTTTAAGTGCAATTTTTAAAAAATATTTTTTTGTTCCAATTTAATAAATAAAAAAAAAATTAAAATTGTCGGCTAAGTTTAGTATTATTAAAAAATTTTTAATTTATTAATTTAATTAATTGCAATTACTTACTTAAATATGTAGACGCTTAATTATTAACTGAGCGTGAATGTAGAAAATTATAAGACAATATAAATTATGAATAATTAAATTTATCATCTTCCCGCGTTGATTTAAATTTGCCGATCATTCTCGCAATAGTCCGAGGTTCGACCTAGCGTGATCTTATTTTGCTTTGTATTTTTTTTTATCCGCATATCTATGCGCAAGTTGTTTTGAGAGCACCACGCGAAACTCGAGTTAATAAGTTATAATTTTATGTAAAGCAAAAAAAACATGTATAGAAGTTAAAAAAGATAACACAGTCGATATCACAGGTTATTGTGTAATCGCATAAAATAAAGACTGCATGTTAACAGAGTATCTCATAGAATTAAATATTAAAATTGTTATTTATAATTATAGTTTATTTTGTACTTGAGGTCTTAATATAAAGCAGGTTAGTCATGTCGGCTTTTCTAACGCGAAAACTTGCCAGTTCGGTTGGCTCTTTTGCTAAATATTCACAAGCTGGACTTTTGTCCGTTCGACATTTAAATTTATTGGAGTACCAGTCAAAAGAATTGTTAAAAGACAGCGGAGTTTCAGTACAAAATTTTACTATTGTTGACGACTTGCAAAAAACTGACAGTGCACTTGATAAATTTCGTAAGTTTTTTTTTTTAATTCATTATTATAATTTTTAAATTATTTCATTTTTTATTACATTAAAGTTAGCAGTCACATGGCCATTTTTAAATTGTATTCATCAAAATTAATTAAGTAGATATTTAATAATTTTTTAACAAATAAATTTAAGTAAAAAAATTAAAATTTTAATAAATTAAAAATGCAATTTTTTTTAAAACAGTTTTTAAATTAATTAAAGAAAATTAAAAAATTGTAAAGTCAATTTTAAAAAAATTAAATAATTCAATTTAATTATAGCAAAAAAAATTGACATGTAGAAATTTTAATAAATTAAAAATGCAATTTTTTGAAAATAATTTTTTTTAAAACAGTTTTTTTAATTAAAGAAAATTAAAAAATTGTAAAGTCAATTTTTAAATAATTAAATTGTAGAAAAAATTCCATAAGTAAAAATTAAAAAAAAAAATTATTAATGTAAATTTTAAAAATTATTTTTTTTGTCAAGATTTATTTTTGTGATAAAAATTAAAAACATTTTTAGATGCCAGTGAGTATGTTATTAAAGCCCAAGTTTTAGCTGGTGGACGAGGTAAAGGATGGTTTGACAATGGATTCAAAGGTGGTGTCCATTTGACTAAAGAGTAAGTATTTTTTCAATAAAATAATTAAAATAATTTTATTTAATAAAAAATGACACTGAAGTTAACAGGCATTAAAATAATTATTTAATAATTTTATAGACATTAAATAATTATAAAATTTAAATAAATTTTATTTAAAATTTTGAAAATCATTTTTATCATTGCAATTGATTTGTTATAAAAATTAAAAAAATTGACATTAATTAGCTAATTTCAGTATCATAATATAAAAATTCTAAATTTTTATTTTATACGACTAGATAAAATTTAATTTATTTGTTTACTTGATTACAGCCCAAAAGAGGTCAAAGAGATAGTCAAAAAAATGTTGGGTCACAAGTTAATAACAAAGCAGACGACAAAAGATGGGATTCTTGTACAAAAAGTAATGATAGCTCAATCCGTAGATATTAAAAGAGAAACATATCTCTGTATTTTGATGGACAGGTCACATAATGGACCAGTCCTTATCGCTTCACCCGCTGGTGGTGTCGACATCGAAGCAGTGGCTGAGAAGACTCCCGAGGCTGTCAAAACAATTCCACTGGATATTTATTACGGAATTGACGATAAAATAGCCAAAGAAGTCGCCGAATTTTTAGGGTTTAATGAAGAAACTATCAAGCGCAAGGCAATCTTTGAATTGAAAAATTTGTGGAAGTTGTTTGTAGATATTGACGCGCTTCAGATTGAAATAAATCCTTTTGTTGAGACTGAAGACCAGCAGGTGGTTGCAGTAGATGCTAAGATTGCGTTTGATGACAATGCGCAGTTCAGGCAGAAAGATATCTTTGCTTTAGAGGACGTCAGTGAAAAGGATCCCAGGGAAATTGATGCTTCGAGGCATAATTTGAACTATGTTAGCATGGACGGGAATATTGGGTGTCTAGGTAATTTATTTATTTATTTATAATTTACCTAGAAAATTATTAATTAATTTTTTTTTGTATCTTCAGTCAATGGTGCGGGCTTGGCGATGGCGACAATGGACATTATTAAAATGAACGGCGGAGAGCCAGCGAATTTTTTGGATGTTGGTGGTGGTGTCACGGAAGAACAAGTCTTCCATGCATTTCGGATTGTTGCAGAAGGTACTTTACTTTGAGAGAAAAAACTATTAAAAAAAAAAAATAAGCAATCTTATAAAATCTATATTATTAAGAGAGCTGGATTCGAAAATGCTCTATCTCTAGATACATAATTAAGAAATGACCTTGTATCTTGTGAACTATTGACATTTTTAAAGATATAAGCTCATCCCGATGTTACACTCATCAAGACCTTTCATTTGAGTACCCACATCAATTTTTCATATATTTCATATATTTATATATATATATATATATATGTATATATGAAAAATATATCAAAAATGCATGTGGGTACTCAAATGAAAGGTCTCGATGAGTAACATCGGGATGAGTTTATATCTTTAAAAATGTCAATAATTAAGAAATTACATTGAATCTTGTCAACTATTGACATTTTTAAAGATATAAGCTCATCCCGATGTTACACTCATCAAGACCTTTCATTTGAGTACCCACATCAATTTTTCATATATTTCATATATTTATATATATATTCTATATATGTAAATATGAAAAATATATCAAAAATGCATGTGGGTCAGCTAAGAAATTCAAAAATTGAAAATAAATTTTTCCTCTGTGAATTAATAGGATTTGTCTCAATTATTTACAATAATTTTTTCAATTTATTATTATTAATAAATTATTATATTAAATTTTCATTATTTAAATAGAAGAAATTAATTTTAATTTTTTTTACAGATCCAAAAGCTAAGGCAGTTTTTGTAAACATATTTGGAGGAATTGTCAACTGTGCGATCATAGCCAGAGGACTAGTCGCAGGTGCTAAGCAACTGAAGATCAACAAACCAGTAGTAGTTAGATTACAAGGAACAAATATGATGGAAGCTAGAAAAATACTCCAAGAATACGGAGCGCCTTTCACGATGAACAACGAACTGGACGAAGCAGCTAGAAATGTTGTTGCGACGATACACGCATAGTAAATAATCTTCTTTATCCATGTCAAAAAATCTCAAAGAATCAAAAATCAAATTTATGGAAAGTAAAAGTTGATTCTATGTGAGGTAGACAATAAGTAGCGTGCTCGCTATTATTTTATAGGCTACTGTTAAAATTAAGATGTTTTTTTAAAAAGCTAATTGTTGTTACTTAAATATAGCGACTTATATACATGTTAATTGACTGTTGAAATAATATAAGGTCTGTTTATATTTTATTCTAAAAATATATTTCTACACGATTAAATTTTTGTTATTAAAAAATTAGATGTTTTGTATATTAAATAATTTCGCTTGTGTTATCTGAATGTTTTGGGTTAATTAATAGATTAAAAAGTAATATATAAAAATTTAAATATGAGTTGATCGATAATGACAGATACAATCAAGTTCTCTGAAATGTGATTAAATATTTTTAGAAACACAATTTATAACTTAAAAGTACAATACAAATATTATATTCTAAATCTTTATCATAAAATATGAATGTATAAATTTATCACAGTTAGGTATTTAAAGCTTAGTAAACTAGTTCGTGATAAATAGCTCGGGGATAATCTTTTCAGGTATGAGATACACTGTACCCTCGGGCTTTTCAAAACCTATTTCTTTATGAATGGAAATATTTTTTCAATGACTCATACTAGTAACTAAGAAAATATTTTCTTAGATAAAAAAAAAAATCTCAAAAAATTACTTTTTATTTTAAAATGTTAATAAGTTTTGTATAAAATAAAAATAAGGACGTCAGTCGTTTATTTTTATTTTACCAGATATGGTAAAGTCTCAAGCAAAACTCGGCCGATTAAAAGAGTTTTTAAAGTCAACATAATGTTGCTCTCAATGTATCAATATATTTATAGGCGTATCAATGTGTTAAAGGTTTAATACAAGTTACTTTATTAGAAGACTACTGCCATATACGGCTCGCCATTTAAAAATCATGAAAGGTAAATGATTTCGTCATTTACAAACCATAATAACGCGAGTGTAATGAATAAGTCCATGGACCAGGTCATGTACTGTTTCACTTTGACCTGAAAAAATTCCTAAATTCATAATACATAACTAGCAACCTTGCAGTCACTATGTGACTGCCGTGACTTCTGAACTATAAATAAATAAAATTTTGCTTTATTAAATAATGAATTTTGTTAAATTGCACTGTAATTTTTTAACTATTGACGTTTTTAAAGATATAAGCTCATCCCGATATTACACTCATCAAAAGATTTCATTTGAGTACCCACATGCATTTTAATATATTTTTCATATATACATATATATATAATATATATAAAATATATTAAAAATTGATGTGGGTACTCAAATGAAAGGTCTCGGTGAGTGTAATGTCGAGGTGAGCTTATATCTTTAAGAATGTCAATAGTTCTTTAGATATATGTTAAATTGCATTGTACTTTCTTAAATATTGACGTTTTTAAAGATATAAGCTCATACCGATGTTACACTCATCAAGAGCTTTCGTTTGAGTACCCACATGCATTTTTGATATATTTTTGATATATTCATATATATATTTTATATAAATAAATAAAATATATGAAAAATTGATGTGGGTACTCAAATGAAAGGTCTTGATGAGTGTAACATCAGGATGAGCTTTATACTTTTAAAAATGTCAATAATTAACAAGATATCTGTTAAATTGCACTGTACTTTCTTAACTATAGACGTTTTTAAAAATATAAGCTTATCCTGATGTTACACTCATCAAGACCTTTCATTTGAGTACCCACATGCATTTTTGATATATTTTTCATATATTCATATATATATTTGATATAAATATATAAAATATATGAAAAATTGATGTGGGTACTCAAATGAAAGGTCTCGATGAGTGTAACATCGGGATGAGCTTATATCTTTAAAAATGTCAATAGTTCACAAGATACAAGGTCATTTCTTAATTATATATCTAGAGATAGACCATTTTCGAATGCAGTCTAAATACTTAACATCATAAATTGTCTATCGGTGAAAATGATATGAAATCTTAAAAAGGGGCAAATTCAAATCAAGACCTTTGCAATGACACTAAATTTAATCATAAAAACCCATTTGATGATATAAATACACTGACTATAAAAATTTCCTTATTCTCTTAATAATATAGATAATAGTTTACAATTATTGTTTGTTGGTAGCTGGTACTCTAATTAAGTAACTTATTAATATAAGAGAAGAAATTTCCCAACATTTATTTATAAGCAGCGTTGTTCTAAAAATTAATATGATTATTATTATTTTTTAGAGTGAAGAGATGAATAATGAATGCACGTTGTATTGTAACATTGGCTCCTTCTTCATCTTGATATTAAATGTTGAGTGAATTTGCGTGTGGTAGAGAAGAAACGTCGTCTGTGTATATATAGCTCACTTTTTTCCCCTCCTATCCAATATCAATGTTTCGGGGTAAAATAGTGGAGTGCGGGGGGTGTTACAGAAGCTTTAACGTGAGCTACCAAGTACTATTCTTGGAGAACTCAACTCAGACCTGCTTTTGCCTTCGCTAAGAAGACGCATGTTAAACGGATTTTAAAACCGACCACGCCGTCATTTCTCGAGAGGTTTTTTACTTTAAAGAAGTCTACTTCAAGTATTAAGTGCCATTATCTTTTATCTTAAGGCAACACTTATTAACGCAGTGATTGGTAGTGAGTTACTCATTTGCTGATGAGAAGAAATCAAGCGGGCTGTTACTTTCAATTGTGAATTATTGTTTTTATTTTATTTTTTATTTCAACTTTTTGTTGTTTTATTAAAAAGGTAATTTTGTTAAAACAATTTTTTTTTTAAGTGTGATAAAAATTTTAGTGTCAAAAATTATTAATTATTTTTTTTTAAAGATAAATTTATGCATATAAATATATAAAATGTCTCAATGTACGACTAACAAGAGATATTTATGTGATTTTTTTTGCGTTCTTGCATTACGATATGTTTATTTTTGTGATTTGTCTGCTGGCAAATTTACTTTTTTCAATTACGTTCATTTTAAAGTTTATGCATTTATTTGTGTGATTATTTGTGATTTTTTGACGTTTTAACTTTATTAATTTTCCTTTTTTTGGATTTTTTTAAAAACTCCAATTAATTAAAGTGAAAGTTTTTTTTTTATTTAATTATTTTTCACCAATAAATTTATTAGTGATTATTTTTATCTGACCTCTATTAAATATCTTATTTAATATTTCAATAAAAAAAAAAATTTATTAATATTCAAAACTAAAATTTAAAACTTATGTTTTAAAACTTTTATCATTTTCTTTTGCTTTATTTAAAAACTCTAATTGATAAGAAAAATTTATTTACAAAATTTTGGTATGAAATCGATGAAAACAACTGTCAAAATATTGACAAGCTATATACTGATAAATTACTCAATAAAAAAATACAAAAAGAGTGACAAATAAAGTAAACAACTGATAAAATTTAACATTACTAATTTCAGAATTATAATATAAATTTTTTTTTCAATGAAATAATCGCTTATTGATAAAAAAAACATGATATTAAAAATATTAAAAGTGAAAATAAGTTTTTATAAATACCTTATAAATAATGAAGATTTTTAATAAAAAATCAGCTGCAGGTCTTCGAAAATGACGCTGACCTGTCAATTTTAAAAATTTTTATAATAAATTATTTGCAATAAAAAATACTTATAAAAAATTGCCACAATTTTTTTTTTTAATTTTTACATGAAGAAATTTCTTTTATAATAATTTAATTACTTTTTTTTTAAACCAAAAAATTTCTTCCAAAAAATTCCATTTTTAACTTAAAAAATTTTTTTTTATAATTTATTTGTTAAAAAAATTATTAAATACCTGCAAAATTAATTTTCCTAAAATCTGATTACTTTATAATAATTAAATAACAAGTGTAACTTGACAAATAAAAAAAAATATGACAATAAAGATGACACTGAAGTTAGCAGACGTCTAAAAATTTTTGATTTATTTTTTTAATTAAATTACAACTAAAAAGATATTTCTAAAAAATTGCACTTATAGTTTTTCAAGTTTTTTACATGTAAATTTTTATTTTTAATTGTTTAATTGAAATTTTTTCAATAAAAAATTTTGAAATGTCAGCCAACTTCATTTTCATCAATAAAGTTAGCCGACATTTAAAAATTTTAAAAATTTTTTTTTATTGAAAAAATTATTACAAAAAAAATTTTATTTGTAAAAAATTTGAAAAACTGTAAGTGCAATTAAAAAAAAATTTTTTTTAATTCTGATTTAATAAATTAAAAAATAAAAAATGTCGGCTAATTTTACTATTATAAAAAAATTCCCCTAAATATCCAAGTCCCTCTAAAAAGTGAGAATCTATTTTCTAAAAATAAAACTCCATAAAAATATTTATTTATTTTAATTTTTTTCTTTTTCAGCTCTCGGCTCTTAGCATTCAGCAAAGTTAAACAGTTGGCTCAATATCTTCGATAAAACTTAAATGCTTTGGATCAACTTCTGAAAACCCGTATTTACAAAAAATATTCGTTAATAATCAACAAAAACGTTGCGCGCGCATAGCTGAATTTTATAAGCTTACGCGCACGCACAGCAAAACGCCGGTCCGAGTTGTCAGAAAAAAAAAAACGTAATCCTCTGGGAATTCAGCAACAAAAAGCACAAAATAAGTAAAAATAAAATAAAAACAATCTAGACTAAAGAATACCTTGGATGAGGAATACCTTCTGAGTCTCGTGACTCATACTGACCCACAGGCCGATATAGACAGCGCCAGCAGCGGGATAAAAAAGGAAAAAAACACATAAACATATACAAGTTGCGTCTGTGTCCGACCGCCCCACTACTTACACCGTCTTCACATTACATAGCAAACCACCATCACCATCACAATCACCATCACCATACCTACCTTCTCCGTTAGCATCTCCAGCATTCGCTGGTGTTAGACAGAGACACAGACAGAGTATAGAATTTGCCTCGTGTTCATACCACGCCGGCCGATAAAATGAATGAGAATGATAAGTCAGTCAGGAGTGAGAACTCCAACGTCGAGGAAGACGAAAGCGAGATGTTTGAGCGGGAACTCGCCGAGGATGCACAGTGGAAAAGGATACAGCAAAACACCTTCACGAGATGGGCGAACAAGCATCTTAAGTCTATTAACAAGTACATTGATGACTTGGAGTGTGATTTGTCCGATGGTTTGAATCTTGTTAGTCTCCTGGAAGTCCTGTCACAAAAACGGCTGCCTAAACACAACAAAAGGCCCAACTTTAGATCACAGAAACTTGAAAATGTCGCTGTTGCTTTGAAATTCTTGGATGATGAAGGAATACGGATTGTTAATATTGGTAAGTTTTTTTTTTATATATTTTTTAAATAATAAATAATGACATTAAAGTTAGCAGTCACTTGATTATTTTTTTTAACAAATAAATTTGTTCGAAAAAATTATTTTTGAAAAATTGTATTTTTTATTTTCTTTTTTTAATTTCTACATGTTAATTTTTTTTTAATAATTTTTTTTTGCTATAATTTATTTGTTAAAAAAATATAAAAATAAAGTTAGCCGACATCTCAAAATTTTAATAGTTTTTTTTATTCAAAAAAAATTTTTTCATTTGCTAAAAACTTCAAAAATTATGAGTGCAATTTAAAAAAAATATTTTTTAGTTATAATTTAATAAATTAAATTAAATAATTCAATAAAATAAAATAAAAAAATAAATGTCGGCCAACTTTATTATTATAAAAAAATTCTTAAAATTATTAAATATCTGCTAGATTAATTTTCATTAATAAATAAAAGACTGAAATTTTTTTTATAATTTTATTGCAATTAAATTATGTAAAAAAATTTAATTAAAAAATTCCATAAGTAAAAATTTAAAAAAATCATTAGAAATTCTTAAAAAAATTGACAGCTGTCAGCAAACTTCAGATCATATGGTAAATATTAAATTTTTAAATTATTAATTTATAGTTTAGATCAGGCCCCGCGAGATTTAATTGATGAATTTTTATTAATTGTTTTATTAAGCAATAAAAAGTTTGAAGAAGGTTATCGAATAGCGATACGATTAATCGATTTAGTGTGGTAACCCGGGCAGCCCGGGAATTTACAGACTTACTGTGTAGCATTATGTCTGTTGAGTGCATACTAATACAAGGACACTGTAATCCTTGAAATTCTTCTACTCGTAACCTGTTCTATTGTTGATATTAATGGATTATTTATTCAATACCTGGATGAGGCTCCAGACTTATTTATGTTTTTTATATAAATTTATTTTATTTCAGTTTTAGAAGATATTTTATTAATGAGCGTTTAGTGGGCTAGTTGGCTGAGTAATATAATGAGAAAATTTATAGAGGATTGTGAAACTAAAAAAAAGCCACTGTGGATCCTTGTTGGTGTCGCGCGCATTCTTAACCGCGATAACTTTGAATTTGCGGATGTTAAAATTAGTGTTATCAAAATATTAATTCACAGACTTTGGTAATTTTTAAGATTATACAACTTAATATTATTTTATTTTATTAAATTGATTTAATTTTATTTTTAAGGCAATTTATTTATTGCTTTTAGAGGATTATTTATAGATCCACGTGTAATTTAATTAGTAATTAACAAAAAGGATATAATTTGATTTTGACAATACGGGTGATAAAATATTTGAATTGCAGGCACCTAGCCAGACGTGACCTTGTAACGGTCAACAAGAACGCCCACTTTCTCTTAGCCAAACCGTGTAAAGTATTTTTTCTAAAATAATAATGATAATTGTGACGATGATCATCTTGATGTAAATATAATCTTGATGTGTGAATGCTGATGATGAAGAATCATGAGTCATTAGACGTGACTCTGTGACAAACAGATCATTTGAATTATTTTTTAAATATTTTAGCTTGTCTATTAAATATAATTATATTACATTGAAAAAAAAAATTATTTTTAAAAAAAGTAAATATTTTTATCACAAAAAATTGATTTTTTGTAAATTAATTTGTTAAAAATTTTATTTTTTAGCTGAAGATATCAAAATTGTTCTACCAGTAATTTTTTTGTTGAAAAAAAATTTTTGATTTGGAAAAATAATTTTGAATTAAAATTTTAAAGTTGTCTATTTTTAATTATTTTATTCCAAATTTAAAAAACTGTTTTTTAACAAAAAATTGTGAGAAAAATTTTTATTTCTTCAGCTAAAAAATAAAATTGTTTGAAATTTCCAAAAAATTAATTTCTTGTCAAAAAATAATTTTTTTCTTAGTATAAATTATATCAATTAAAATTAATATTTATTTTTTAAGTTCTGAATTTAGGTGTGAGTCTGTGAGAAAGTTTGTCGTTAGAGGCAATTGTGTAAATGCATTGTAACGTCATCGATGAGACGCGGTCTGATGTCATCCAATTATATTACACATTCGCACATTTTTTTATTTACACAGTTAATAATTAATAATTACGATATTAATTCAATTAAAAAAAAAAATTAGATAACGGTAGTTGAGTTTTAAATTTCAATATTAAAAATAAAAAAATGGTAATTTGTATAAATTTAAATTACTGACCGATGACGGATCAATTAAATCAGCAACTTTTGAGTTTATTGACCGATTTAAAAAATATTTATTTTGGAATATATTTCCGTTTTATCTCTCGAGTATTTTTTGATTAGTTCTCATATTTAATATTATGTATTTCGTAATTTATAGAGCATCTACGAGGGTTCGTTTAAAAATTACACGCTGACTCTTTAAAACTAGTTTTAGTAACAAACAAAAGCTAATATTGTATTACACTCTACAATTTACAAAAGTGTAAATGATACTCCAGTTAATATAAATTTAATTTTTAAATTGCAAAATAAGCTTGGAGTTAAAATATAAAGTAATAAAAAAATACGAAGAAATAGTTGATAATAAAAAAAGCAATTTAAATTGGGTGTGACAAGCAACAGCGTGTAAATTTATGATTTATTAATTGGAGTAATAGCTTACATGGCTTTCGTTTTAAATAAACTCCACATAAGTCATCATTAACTATAGTTTTTTTATCACAAATAAATATTATTTTTATTTTAAGAAGTAGGTTACAAGATTTGATTTAATTATCAAGGTTCAATAAGAAGATTAATAAGTTTTTAATTATTTAAATAATCTTGAAATACTTTTAGTAAGATATGAAAATTTTTTAATTTAAAAATTGATAAAAATAATAACTAATTAAAATTAAATAGTGAGATATAATATGAAGATTGTAATTCAAACTGTGAATCGATGTAAAAAACATGGATATAAGATTAACGAACTCTATTGAAAAGAAGACATGTAATATTAATGAATAGAAAGATGTGTCAGTTACGTTTGAGAAGTAATGACGTCATCGGTTGGTAATTGCTTAAAATAACTACTATGAATCGGTTGGGCACTCTCGTCTTCTTTCCGAAACTCGTTAGAGTAGTTTCTCTTTTTATTTTATTTGTCCTTCTCTCTTTCTATCGCCAACAATCCACCTGTAGCTCTTACAATGCTCGCACGAGTACTGAAGTACATGACACAGCTCAGAGCATGATCTCTGATTCTAAATCTTTAAATAAAAACCAAATTGCCACGTTCCTTATCGCCTTGAACGCAATCTTTACACAATAGTCCGGATGATTTATATCACCAGGTGTTCCGACTAATTACCGCTTCAATTAGATTTTATTTTTCTTCTTATAAAATATTTTATTTAGCTATTTTAAGAATAAATAAATAAAACTTTACTTAATATTAAATAATGAATTTTGTTAAATTGCACTGTACTTTCTTAAATATTGACGTTTTTAAAGATATAAGCTCATCCCGATGTTACACTTATCAAGAGCTTTCATTTGAGTACCCACATGCATTTTTGATATATTTTTCATATATTCATATATATATTTGATATAAATATATAAAATATATGAAAAATTGATGTGGGTACTCAAATGAAAGGTCTTGATGAGTGTAACATTGGGTTGAGCTTATATCTTCAAAAATGTCAATGGTTCACAAGATACAAGGTCATTCCTCAATTATGTATCTAGAGATAGAATATTTTCTTATTTTCTTAATAATATTGATATTTATCACAAAATTTGAATCTGTCATTATGAATCTTAATTTTGGATATACAAGTAAAATATTGGTTCTTAAAAAAAACACTTTTTTTTTTACAAAATTAAATTCTGATCAATTCTTGTTTAATAAATTTTTTTTAGGATCAATATTTTCGCCATAATATCAAATATTTGACCTTCTTATTTTAAAATTGCGGCAAAAATTTTGTCCCTACTGATGAATAATTATTTTACTGTTATTTAATATAAAACGAGGATATCGACCTGATTTAAATAAACAATAATTGAGTCATTGATCTTGAAATATTCCGTCTTTTTTGATTGTATGATTCAGAAAATAAATGTTCGCCGAAGACACTTGTAAATTCTATTTTAGCAGTTTACTGTCACACTTTTATGTACGCCCACGTTTTTTATTTTTATTTTATTATTCTAAGAATATTATTAGTATTGTACTGTCATACGCCAGGTATTCTTGATGATAATAACAAAATAAAATTACATTAGACATTAAATGCATTAGCGAATATTTTAAATACTTTTAATGAGAAAATTATTCATAAGTATGAAATGTGATGATGAGCAATAGATTTTCCATTGATGATAAAAATTTTTAATTAAAAATTAACAAACAAAAATCCATTAATTATAAATTATAAAGAAGACTATTGAAGAGTTGTTTAAAGAACTCGTTTAAAAATAACTTTGTATATTGAAACTCTTGACATTAACAGTGAAATAATTCACTGTGTATGTATAAATATCTGAAGACATACTTATAAAATTTTTTATTGCAGATTCATCAGACATCGTTGACTGCAAGCTGAAACTGATACTGGGACTAATATGGACCCTGATTCTCCACTATTCGATCTCGATGCCCATGTGGGATTACGACGATACGGAGGAGGCGCAAAAAGGAGCGACTCCCAAGCAGAGATTGATGCACTGGATCCAGGCTAAGTTACCTGAGCTACCGATAAACAACTTTACATCTGATTGGAATGACGGAAGAGCCGTTGGAGCTCTTGTTGATGCGGTTGCACCGGGTCTCTGCCCTGACTGGCCTGATTGGAACCCCAAGGATGCTGTTCAAAATGCTTCCGAAGCAATGAGCCTCGCTGATGACTGGCTTAATATACCTCAGGTATATTTTTTTTTTATTATAGATAAACTCGGATATTTTTGCAAAATTTTTTAGTTAAAAATGATAAAATTGATTTTTAATCAGATATAAGCTCATTCTGGCATTACACTCGTCGAGACCTTTCATTTGAGTACCCACATCAATTTTTCATATATTTTATATATTTATATATATTATATATATGTATATATGAAAAATATATCAAAAATGCATGTGGGTACTCAAATGACAGCTCTTGATAAGTCCAACTTTGGGGTGAACTTATATTTTTAAAAACGTCAATAGTTAAGAAAGTACAGTGCAATTTAACGAATATCTTGTGAACTATTGACATTTTTGAAGATATAAGCTCATCCCGACATTACACTCATCGAGACCTTTCATTTAAGTACCCACATCAATTTTTCATATATTTTATATATTTATATATATATGTATATATGAAAAATATATCAAAAATGCATGTAGGTACTCAAATGAAAGCTCTTGATGAGTGCAACATCCGGATGAGCTTATATCTTTCAAAACGTCAATATTTAAGAAAGTACAGTGCAATTTAACAAAAGTCATTATTTTATAAAGCAAAATTTATTTATTTATATTTCACAAGTCACGACAGTCACATAGTGACTAAAGGTTGCTAGTATATTTTATTCATTTATTTAAAAAAAAAAAATATCTTTTTGACAAATAAATGATAAATTATCTTCTAATTTATTTTTTTTATTTTCTAGCTAATTAGCCCAGAAGAAATGGTCAATCCTAATGTCGATGAGCTGTCTATGATGACTTATTTGTCGCAATATCCTAACGCGAAATTGAAGTCCGGCGCACCTTTACGTGCCCGTACTAATCCCAACAGGTAAAATATTTTTCAAAATAAATAAATTAAAAAATAATTAGTTACAATAATAAAAAAAAAAAGAAAAATACTGAATAAATATAATAATTAAGTGATTAATAATAATTTATTTCATTTTTTGGTCGCAGCGTTCCTCCGCCCCGGTAAGTCGGGATGCGAAAGTATTTATTTTGTTAATTATTGATTGACGCATTAATCATTGCCGTAGTAGTCTTATAAAAAAATTATAATTCATCAAAGGGAAATATTACGCCTCATCTAATAAATATTAATGTTTGAAAACATCTAACTCGACAAATTCATAATCATAAATTTTATTTTATAAAATTATTAATTAAGTTTTATTTTTATTTAATAAAGCTGGTGTGCAAGCGTGTGGTAATTATATAATTATTAAAAAATAGATTGTTTAACGCTTGTAACCGACTGGCAATATTAATGCGGATGTTTAAAGTGTGGGCAGGAAAAGTAACTTTTCATTTAATTAAAATCGACGAAATAATTTTACAAACTTCTAAAATTTATTGAATATTCTAGAGTTCGTGCTTATGGACCGGGTATTGAACCAAAGGGTCCCATAGTCAGTGCCCCGGCGAACTTCACCGTTGAAACATTCTCAGCCGGCAAGGGTGACGTCGAAGTAACTGTAGACGATGCGATGGGACACAAATTGCCAGTAGACATCAGATTTAACAACGACAGAAATTTGACGTACTCTGTGTCGTACACACCGAAGACTGAAGGTCCTCACAAGGTTCGTGTGCTCTACGGTGGTCGTGAAATCCCGAAAAGTCCTTACACTGTCGCAGTTGAAGGTGTTCCTGGTGACCCTAGTAAAGTTACTGCCAGTGGACCTGGTCTGCAGCCCGATGGTGTCGTAGTAAATCGACCAACGTACTTTGATATTTTTACTAAAGATGCAGGTCGTGGGGTACCTGAAGTTATCATTCTTGATCCTCAGGTAAAATTATTATTTTTTAATCAAATAAATTTTTTTTATAAGTATTCAGACTGCATTCAAAAATGCTCTATCTCTAGATACATAATTAAGAAATTACATTGAATCTTGTCAACTATTGACATTTTTAAAGATATAAACTCATCCCGGTGTTACACTCATCGAGACCTTTCATTTGAGAACCCACATCAATTTTTCATTTATTTCTTATATTTATATATATTATATATATGTATATATGAAAAATATATGAAAAATGCATGTGGGTACTCAAATGAAAGCTCTTGATGAGTGTAACACCGGGATGAGCTTATATCTTTAAAATATATATTATATATATGTATATATGAAAAATATATCAAAAATGCATGTTGGTACTTAAATGAAAGCTCTTGATAAGTGTAGCACCAGGATGAGCTTATATCTTTAAAAACGTCAATAGTTCAGAAAATACAGTGCAATTTAACAAGTCATTATTTAATAAAGAATTTATTTTTTACAGAGTTCAAAAACATCTGTACCAGTTAAATTACGTCAAACATCACCCGACGTCTGGCGATGTGAATACGTCTCACCAATAACTGGTTTACATTCGGTGAACGTCTTCTTCGCGGGTAAATTAATACCTAAAAGCCCGATGGGAGTGAACGTCGCGCCATTGTCAGATGCTAAAAAATGCCGCGCTTATGGTCGCGGTTTATTAGCCAACGGCGTCAGAGTCAAAGACATAGCAGACTTTGTAATAATCACCAAAGATGCAGGTGAAGGTATTCCCGAAGCACGTTGCATCGGACCTGGAGGTGTCAACTTACCGGTCACCATAAATAAAATCGACGCGAACAACTACAAGTGTCACTACTTGCCAGTCAAAGAAGGAAGACACGTGGTGATGATCACCTACGGCGGCAAAGAAATACCCAAGTCGCCGTTTGAAGTCAATGTTGGTCCGTACAAAGAGTCCGCTATCCGCGTATTCGGTCCTGGACTTAACGGCGGGATGGTCAATCATCCAGCGAGATTCACTGTTGATACTAATGGCGAGACTGGAGCTCTGGGCTTTTCAATAGAAGGACCGTCTAAAGCCAAAATCGACTGTCATGACAATGGTGACGGAACTGCGGACGTGACTTATTTACCAACAGCCGCGGGACCCTATGCTGTTCATATTCTTTGTGACAACGAGGACATTCCAAAGAGCCCGTACATTGCGATGATTCAGCCTGAAGCGGATTTCCATCCGGATAAAGTGGAAGTACATGGACCGGGTATTCAACCTGAAGGCGTGGCACGTGATAAACCCACGCAGTTTATCGTCGACGCTAGAAAAGCTGGACAAGCTCCACTGGACGTTACTATTCAAGATGCATTGGGACGTGATGTGCCAGTTAAACTGGAGAATAAACATGATGGTACTGTGCAAGCACACTATGCACCAACATCTGGCTCTCAGCATGTTGTTATGGTAATTAATGTTTATTTTTATAAAATTCACGAATTAAAAATACTTTTTTATTAATAAAAATTATTAATATTATTTATTAATTAATTATTAATATTTTTATTATTAAAAATTTTATTTTTTGAATTGCTAGTTAATTATTTAAATTTATTATTTATTATTATCATCATTATTATTATTATTATTATTATTATTATTATTTACTAGTATAATTAATTTGTTTTTCTTACAACTTGTCGTTTGCAAAAGTATCAACTTTTGGTTTTTTAGACGTGATTAGCTTACTAAAAAAACTTAAAATTTACTGAATTATCACTAAACGTGTGTCTTGAGTTTCTAACTCATATATTTTTTTTTCTATTTATTTTTTTAATAAGAAAAATCCTAAAAATCGTCAAATACCTGCTAATTTTAATTTCACAAAAATTTTTTAATAACTTAATTATTTTAACTAAATTAAAAAAATGTTAATTTTTTTTAAATTAAAAAACCATCGGCTGTTTTTAGTATCATAATTTAATTAAATAAAACAAACCGACTCTAATAAATTAATAAATATAATTTTTGAATTATAAATTTTGAGATAATTGATTTTTTGAGAACATTTTATTTTTTTAATTAGAATAAAATTTCAAGTGTCAATCAACTAGGCCAGTGTCAATAACTGGGTCTTTTACCTTAGTATAATTAATATTTATTATTATTATTATTATTATTATTATTATTATTATTATTATTTGTTTAGGTAAATTATGGAGGAGTTGCTACAAAAAAATCACCCTACAGAGTAAAAGTAGCCTCGCCATTAAACCCAGCGATGGTTGCTGCATTTGGTCCCGGTTTGGAGAAAGGAATAAAATCAAACACACCCACGCATTTCAACATAGATTGTCGTGAAGCCGGTACCGGAGACCTGGACGTCACTATGAAGAGTCCAGACGGACATGACTTACCAATCTCATTAACAGACAACGAAGATGGAACTTACACGGTTGATTATGTAGCTCCTGCACCGGGTACATACACCGTCAACCTTAACTACGGTGGCCTCAAAGTCCCTCAGTGCCCCATCAAGGTCAACGTTCAACCTCACGTCGACGTGTCCAAAATCAAAGTCGAGGGGCTTGAACCAAGTGAGTGTTCATTATTTTAATTACATGCTAAATTTATCAGTCAGAGACTTAACTGTTATTATTTAGGCTACGATAATTGGTCGAAGACGTGGGCTTCACTCGTAAATTGTTGTAATTTATAGACCCGTGGGACCTATCGCGTTTAGTCACCAAGTAATACGCGGAAGTAATTAGCAAATGATTTATTGGTTTTTACTGAGATAGATTTTATTTAATATTCTTTTGAGTAATAATATGTTTTTAAGTTCAGGACAAGAACAAGGATTACTTAGATGTACTCGCGTGTTATTAAGCTGGTAGTGCGCCAGTACTAAAATAATTCAAGGTGAATTATGATAATTTTTTTTTTCACCGTCGAAATATTTTAATTTATTATTACGATTAAAGTATAATTTAATTGTTTTATTAGAGCTTAAATTATTTTTATGAGATTGATTTTTAGAGTAATTTATTTTTTAATGATAATTTTAATGAATGAAATTTATATAACTATATATTCTTACGAATCAAAATCAGATTTTGTGAATTTAGCTCAGAAATTGTCCCCGGTTTACGATTACCAAGTCTTTCCCGTCTACCCTCCACCGATGTTTATTTTCAGATCTCACAAATTCCTCGGTACGATTACGTAGCCTTTAGCTTAATCTAAAAATATTATAACTTAAATTTTACTTGACAAAATTTATCTTTTCAATTTTAAAAATCTATAAAAGAATATAAATTTAGATATTTTAAAAGGCAAACAAATTTTTTTTAGCTTTTTTGATTATAGATGACTAGGTGATTTTTTTACTGGAAGTGATTTTTTATTAATTTAACTAACACACGAATATTTTATTTCATATGAATGAACCTTTTTATTCACAATAAAATGATTGATGTTGTTATTCAAAAATTAGATTTATTTTATTTATTTATTAATTATGAAATAAAATATTCTTAGTGTAAATTTAATAGTACTTACGTACACAATTATCGGAGGTACTCAAGTCATTTTTTTTATAAATATCTCAAACTCAATTGATTAATTATTAAAAATTTCGGTAATTATTTACAAGTGGGGTCCACCATTTTTATTTTCATTTTTTTGAACAAAATTTTTATTTAAATTTATTGATATAATTTTTTTTTGAAAAAAAAAAAAAAAACTAAAAAATGAATTAAAAAAAAAAATAAATAATTGAAAAAAACAAAAAAATAACAAATTTTACAAATTTTCAAAAAAAGTTATAAATTGTTTAAAAAATTGTGATATTCAACTTTTTTTAAAAAAAAAAAAACAGCAAAAAAAGATAAAATAGAAATTTTATTCAAAAACATGAGAGCCAAAATTTTTTCCAAAGTTTTTGTAAGGCAAAAAAAGACTATCGAAA